GACCTTCTCAGACAGGTGCGTACGCCAGAGACACAGACGAACACCACAGGCTGAGACCAAACAGGTCACAAACACACACACGGAAGCCCCCATTCATTGCGTTGCTAACTAATGTCGCTCTTCAGCTGGAGCAGTTGAACCGTGCCCTCCGCGAGGAACTACAGAAGGCCCGCAGCGAGACCAATAAGGTAGACACACACTTGGGCGAATGCTTCACCCATCGACCTCCTTCATCTGTCTGATCGATGCCCCTTCCTCTTTCACCCCACGTCTGCGTCTGCAGGTAGCCGCACTAGAGAGGGACTTGCAGGCGGCCCGTGACGCAAAGGCCAAAGCTGACCACGACACACAAAAGGTAAGTAAGGTGGGCAGGGGGCACTATGCTGGGGGGAATGGTGTCCAGTGCAGCTTCTTTTATGTGTGTGTGTGTGTCGCTGGTTGGCTGTTTGATGCATGGCATGCAGTCCGTGTATCGTATGATCAACTTTGTCCACCCACGTCCACCCCCGGAGTCGATCCTTTGCCGTCAAGACACCCAGAACGGCCCTCATCTCTGACCTGGTGGGCGAGGCGAGACGAGGCGACACACAGACAGAGAGACAGAGAGACAAGCCCGCACGCAGACAGACAGACAGACAAACAGAATGTCTGTGTGTGTGTGTGTGTGTGTGTGGTGTAGGCGCAGTTAGGAGCTCACGTGGCGATGCTGGCGGCAGACAGGCTGGAGTGCTGCAGCCCCCCTGTCCTGAGCTGCACGTCCCCTGTGGTGGAGGCGTATGTCACCGAGTGGCAATCGGGTCAGATTTGCCACTGTCTTCCTCGGCAGAGTCGCCACACGGTATGTGTGTACTTACTGTATGTGTGAACCCTCCACCAATACCCCACCCCCTCCACACACCCCACCCCTCCCTCATTTGTGTGTGTGTGTGTGTGTGTGTGTGCAGGATCGCTGCTTCGCTCCCCGCCGCGCACATTCCCTGCCGCACCCTGACCACCGCAGCGCGCCACCACAAGACCATCGACTCCGCCGCCCTCGACATAATCGCCAAGAGGGGCACCAAGGGGCTGCTAGCCCAGCGCATTCGGGTCGACGTCAATCCGCCAGCTTTCGGATGTGCCCCTAAACTACATATCGCTGTAAGTGTCTGAAGCCACATCATAGCACCACACAGAACGGCCACATATGTGATGCGTCTTCCCTCTTTCTCTATGTGGTCCTGTCTGCCTGTGTCAGGACTTGACGACCAAGACAGAAGCATGACACTATCATCCCATTCCATGCATTTCATTGCATGGCAGGGAGAGGGAGAGGGAATGTGAGTGCTTAGCAGAATGAGCATTTCTCTCCCTCTCTGTGTGTGTCAGGTGTGAAGGAGTTGAAGGCCCAGGAGAGGGCTGATTGTCCATCACTATCGCTGCCCACATTTTATATTCTGCCGTCTCTTGTCTGCAGTGTACCATCCCGC